CTACCATGCTAGCACAATGTATGTTTATGCATTCTTAATGCCTCATATTCTCCACGTAATTGCCGCATGCCTGCACTAAAGGGCGAACGAACGACGATAGCCGCCAATTGCTATATGCTGCATGCCAACTAGCATAGCGTCGTGAGAAATCGTGGCGGGGATGCTGCGGGATGCAGGCGAGCAAATTAATTTGTTTAAGATGGGTTTTACCAGAGCACACGTGCTGCGGCCCGCCCTGTTCAGTTTTGAGAGTAGTGAGATTGACCCAAGAACAGATTTCTTGGTTGCGGGTTCAACGAGTGGACGTACGCCACGGAGCGCATTAAGTAGGATACTTAATTAGCATAGTGAATTTTGCAGATAGGATTACTTTTACGCGGGGCCCACACTGAGAGGTTGTTCTTGCTGTCCCGCCTTCCTTCCGCCTCGGCTCCCTCTCTCCTCCACCTTCTTCCCTCCCTCCCACCCCCACCCCTGTCCTCCTGGTCTCCCTCCCTCAACACCCAGGATCCTTTTATAGCATTTCTTTTTTTAATTGTCACTTATTTAGCTTTCCCGACGTTCCCTGACATAGCTTTCGAGTGCGCTGTATGTTGTTTCACGATCTGCTCGGGTGTTGTGTCTCTCAACCTCGTTTGTACCGACGAGCAGGCGATAACATGCCTAAAACATGCGACGTCTTGGCAGTAGTCCCTTTGTAGAATTGTTGTTGATTCTCGCCCTACCAGGATTGGAAATCGACGATAGCTCACGAATTCTACTTCTACCTGCTTTAGTATATACCATTAGATAAATAATTAGAATTCTCTCTCTCTCTTCTCTCTCTTCTCATCTCTCTCTCTCTCTCTCTCTCTCTCTCTCTCTCTCTCTTCTCTCTTCGTCTCTCTCTACTCTCTCTCTCTCTCTCTCTTCTCTTCTCTCTACTCTCTCTCTCTCTCTCGTCTCTCTCTCTCTCTCTCTCTCTTCTCTCTCATCTTCTCTCTCTCGTCTCTCTCTCCTCTCTCTCTCTCTCTCTCTCTCTCTCTCTCTCTCTCTCTCGTCTCTCTCTCTCTTCTCTCTCTCTTTCTCTCCTCTCTCTCTCTCTCTCTCTCTCTCTCTCTCTCTCTCTCTCTCTCTCTCTCTCTCTCTTCTCTCTCTCTCTCTCTCTCTCTCTCTATATCTCATCTTCTCTCATCTCTCTCTCTCTCTTCTCATCTCTCTCTCTCTCTCATTCTCTCATCTCTCTCAATCTCTCTCTCTCTCTCTTCTCTCTCTAACTCTCTCATACTCTCTCTCTCTCTCTCTACATCTCTCTACTCATCTCTCTCTCTCTCTCTCTCTCTCGGCTCTCTCTCTTCTCTTCTCTCTCTCTCTCTCTCTCTCTCTCTCTCCCTCATCTCTCCTCATCTTCTCTCTCTCTCTCATATCTCTCTCTCTCTCTCTCATCTCCTCATCTCTCTCTCTCTCTCTCTCTCTCTCTCTCTCTCTCTCATCTCTACTCTTCTCTCTCTCTCTCTCTTCTCTCTCATCTCTCATTCTCTCATTCTCATCATCTCTCTCTCATACTCTGTCTCTCTCATAGTCTCTCTCTTGTCTCTCTCTGAGTCTCTCTCTCATGTCTCTCTCATGTCTCTCATCTGTCTCATCTCTGTCTCTCTCTGTCCTCTTCTGATCTCTCATCTGTCTCTCCTGTGTCTCTCTCTGTCCTCTCTGCTCTTCTCTCTCTCTGCTCTCTTCTCTAGTCTCTCTCTCTAGTCTCTCTCTCTGATCTCTCTCTCCTGTCTCTCTCATGTCTCTCATCAATGTCATCTCTCCTGTCTCATCTACTCTGATCTCTCTCTGTCTCTCTCTGTCTCTTTTCTGCTCTCTCTCTTGTTCTCTCTGTCTCTCTCTAGCTCTCTCTCTGTCCCTCTCTGATCTCTCTCTCTCTCTCTCTCTTTCTCTCATCTCTCTACTACTCTCGCAATCTCTCTCTCTCTCTCACACACTCTCTCTGTCTCTCTCCTGTCTCATCTCTGTCTCTCTCTCTCTCTCCTCTCTCTCTCTTTCTCTCTCTCTCTCTTCTCGATCTCATCTCTCTACATCTCTCTCTCAATCACACACACTCTACTCTCTCTTTCGACGCGCTACAACACTAGGATAATAGTTAGTATTGGATGAAATCGATTTGCGCCCCCGCCAATGAGAATTATCTTGGCTCCGGTCAACGGCGACCGACGTTGACGAAGCCACATTCCATATGCTAACATTAGCAGAGCCGTAGCCAGAGGGGGCGTTTCGGGTGGTTCGAACGAAACCCCCCCGAGACCCCCCAAGCAAAAAATTTTTTTTTTTAAATTTTCCAAGAAATTTCACTCAGCAGCTCGCCTCAGATTTTAGTAAATAATTGCCCCAAAATTCTCCATCGGGCGGGAGGGTGAACAGTGAAACACCCCCCTCCCACACCCATCCTCGCTCAGGTTCGCTTGGCTCCTCGCCCTTTGGTCGCTTTCGGGTACGCACGAGCAGGCGGCGTGACATACAGAGGGGCCGGTTCCAGGCGAAGTCCGGACCCCCCCTTGCCTCGCGCAAAAACGCCATCTGAGGCCGGGCCGTCTAATTTTATAAAATTATTTTTTGGGCGGACAGACCCCCTCCTAGCGACAGGTACTGCTCGCAACTTTGGGTCTACGGTTAGACCCCCCCCCCCCCCCGCGCTACAAATCTGCTACACCGCCCCTGCGAGCAAATGCCAACAATTGCAAAAAACGAACCCACCCGTCACCCCCCCCCCAATAGAAAGCTAGCCACATGGTACGGCGCCTGCCATTAGTTATTAAGTGGAGCAATCGTGGCGGGATGCTCGCAGCCAAAGTGAATACTTGTTAGATCGGATTTGACAATGCACACGATGCCCTTGAGGTGTCCGCCCCTGTCCAGTTTGAGCGCTATAGAGAGCTGGTCCGAGCAAAATTATTTCTGGCTGCCAGGGCAACGAAACGACCGTGAGCGGCCATTGCTTATGATACATAGTATATGCTGGGGAATCGAATGGTGGCGATGCTGCCGAAGCGAAAGTAAATTTTATATAGATCGCAAATTTAGCCAATGCCACCGCTGCCACGCGGCCCACTCTGATTCCAAATTATGAGCTGTAAGAGAATCGTCGAAGGCAGAATTAATCAATGGTGATCAAACGGCGACCGACTGTCACGTAGGCGCATTGCCTATATATAATCATTATATATGTACAATAGCAATAAGTGCTAATCGCCCGTGGAGAATCGTGCGCGGGGAATGCTGCGAGCCAAAAGTGAATGTTGCTAGAATTGCGATATTTACCATGCAACACGTGACGCGCGCCCGCCCCTGTCCAGTTGAGCGGATGAGACCGGCCGAAGAATATTATCTGGGTGTCAACGGCGACTGACGTCACGAACACCATTCCTGTAACGTGTAATATGTGCATACGTGTAACAGACACGTTTTCTACTGCAATGCGCCGGGTTGATCAGTCTACTGTATCAATTCCGAGGCTTTCCTTTTTCTTTACAATTGGACACTTGGAAGAATATTTTGTTTCAAAGTTATATATATATATATATATATATCAGGAGTAAAAAATCTCATTTGGCCCCTGTGAATACAGTCGAATTTTTATGCGTGTAGAGATAATTCCAATAGACAAAAGATGTACTTGTACAAAATTAATATTTATTTGCACTTTTAAAATATTTGCTTTACAGATTCACAGCATTGCATATTAAATCTGCTCTGATATAATCACAGTAAGGCTGAAGCAGCGGGAAGTCTTTCAGTTTAGAATAACGATGACCAATCACATTATATTCTTCTGTTAGCATCAAAGGTACACAAATCACATATAGATGGGAATCACTAAATCTGCACCGGTAGGCCCTACACGTACGTTCGCATGGGTGCATAATATATATAAGCGCTCAGGCACACATAGATAGCAAAACAGCACCTGAGTATATTTTTCAAAAAAGCAAAAGGACAGTAAAATATGCCCCACACTACGTACGTAATACCCCTCCTATCACGGGTTTCCCAAGAGCGGAATCATTAGGTTGTATTACTGGTGTAAAGCATTTCTGCAATCGCTCCAATAGGTTGTGTGAATTCGTGTTCTTATCACGTATCGCATCGTCATTGCCATGGTTGAAATGTAAGTTCACCTTCAATCTAAGTGAGAAGAATTTCCCAGTCTGATATATATATATATCAAGAGTGCATAATAGAGACTCTTGCACTCTTATTATGCACTCTTGATATATATATATATATATGCATCTCGATCCGCTTGTTTTTTTCTTTCGGGAGCTATACGTCAATAGCGAGGGAAGCGGACGTTATTTAGTGGACTATATCCAATGTTTGAAAAAAAATTATATTAATATTAGCAGGAGTAGATAATAGAAGATCTAGAATAGTCTATATAGTAGATTCTTATATAATCATATGTAGATCTATAATAGATCATATAATAGTAGATATAGAAGTATCTCTTTATACTCTCCTGATATTAGCTATACATCAAATGCAAATCAAAAGTTTTATCATGGTTCAATACAGGAGAACTAAGAAAAAATGTTTCAAGGACTTTTCTAAGACTTTTCAAGCGATATTTTATCGGGAAATCGAAGGACAATTAATCAGAATTCGTACACAGTAATAAAACATACCTGGACTTAGATTTAATAATAACCCGCATCTTAATTCACTGTCACCTCTAAAACGTTTACCTGCGATCACAATTAATACAACCTTCTAAACACCTGTCACTTCTACAACATACCTTGATTTACTGACTGATTTACTGACTTACTGAAATTTGTGATCATCATTTAACTGTCTATCGTGTCTATAGCTTTTTAAGCTCAATTTAACGCCAATTTTTATTGCAGGTTTGCACATTATTGATGCGTACAACAATTTCTTATACACGGCAAGGATTCTTTTCTAAAAATTCAAGGACATCTTTCATGAAATTCAAGAACTTTTCAAGCACAAAATCCACATTTACTAAATTCAAGTACTTTTCAAGGACTCCCCTCAAATTCAAGGACTTTTCAAGGACTGTGCGAACCATGAGTTTATATGTGCGTACACTGGTGGCGGTAGTTGTTTGAAGTAGAGTGGTGATCTGTTATCTTATCCTAGTTTTTTTTTACATTTCGAAGGTACTATATATATATGTTCGCTGCATAAACCTCTGGCCTGAGCCGTGACCACTGGTACCACAGCGAGCACTCTAAAGCTATGTTCAGCTGTGTTGCAAGCAAACCCAGTAGTAAATACAGTGGCCATGCGAACGCTAGATAAATTTTCAGGGCGCCACACAGACTCCTGCCGCTTCAAAGAAATTCCGAGAGTAATAGAAAGGGAGCGTATTCATCTCTTGACTATATATATATATATATATACCTAAGAATCTGCGTCGTACTTCCCACGCGTGTGAAAATTAATACTATTGCGTGTAACGTACACGTATAGAAGCGTAATAAACAGCCACAACCCATTACCATGTCCCCCCTATAACGCCACGCTTTCCATTAAACGTTGTATTCACCATTCACCAATCCTGGTTGTTTCCAGGAATGTAACCCCCCCACGATAGACGAGGGAATACTGTAGTATCATGAAAGTATTCTCACATATAACCATGGCTGCATACACCTGGTGGCATATCATAACATATACATACTCTAAACTAAAAAGAATATTAACATTTTAATATTGGCAATAATTCAATGATTGGCGGCTCTAACTATTACAATAACCACACAGATATATACGTTTTTTTATCAATATTAACGCATAACTCCTTCGTAAATGTGTCTAATCATGACCACAATGCAGACATATAGCCGTTATTAACAAAATACATAGGGTTGCATCTGACCACTATGATGCAAATGATATGCCGGGCTCCATATTCCTACGCTTGCTGCGGATTTCACTCGCCAAACTCACATGCGGAGCAGCGTACACAGGTGCTGATGATCCGAGATACAAGAGCATCTTGACCATGTTTTATCTCATGTGGAATCCCTCACGCAGGCATGTTGCTATCCCAGCCGGCCGCCAGCTCACTGTTCAACTGAGCTTCGACGCTGGGAGACAGTATGTCGAGGCGTGGCACCCCTCACGCAGGCATGTTGCTATCCAGCCGGCCGCCCCTCACGCGTCAACTGAGCTTTCGACGCTGGGAGGACAGTATGTCGAGGCGTGGCACCCCTCACCAGGATGTTTTGCTATCCCGCCGGCCGCAGCTTCACTCGTTCAACTGTGGCTTCGACGCTGGAACAGTCTGTCCGAGGCGTGGCACCCCCTCACGCAGCAATGTTGCTATCCCAGCCGGCCGCCAGCCTCACTGTTCAACTGAGCTTGCGTACGCTGGGAGACAGTATGTCGAGGCGTGGGCACCCCTCACGGCAGGCATGTGCTATCCCAACCGCCGCACAGCTCACTGTTCCTGAGGGCTTCGACGCTGGGAGACAGTATGTCGAGGCGTGGCACCCCTCACGCAGGCATGTTGCTATCCCAGCCGGCCGCCAGCTCACTGTTCAACTGTGCTTCAATGCTGGAGGCAGTATGTCTAGGCAGAGTCGTACTGGCTGGTCCGAGCCGAGGTACGCGCGCTCATGAACAACGTCCAGCGTATAGATGACTCTGCCCTCTCTCTCGGCGTGTAGAAACACTAAGTGGCAGCCCTCTGGCGCCACGCACGAAGCCGATGCGTTTCAGCGCGGCGAGCAGCCTTCGGCGTGAGTCGATTCTCCAGCCGCAGGCATGAGGACCCAGCCCTCATCCTTTGGCTTTTGGAAACTGTGGCGTGTGCCGCTCGCACCTCCCCCTTGAATATAAAGTCATGTGAAATGTAATAGGCAGTGTAGAGGCTTGAGACAGCAGACTCTCGGCTGCCAGTGAAGAGGAATGGTTTACAGGGGTTCAGATGTTAGGGTGGCGCTGACAGTTAATTAATGTTTTTACAAATACATTATTGTTGGCAGTATGCCCTTGTTTGGTTTGAGGCGAGCTGAGATTGACATTGAGAACATACTCCTGCATCTGCATGTATCTTCTATCCAAGGTTTATTCACTGCCTTGTACCTAAAATTACAAGCCTGTCTTTAACGCGTGCATGTGATACGGCAGTACTAGTAGGCATCGTAAAAAATGGCAGAAAATACAATGCATTGTCAAGATAAAAACTACAAGAAAGCAAAATACACAATTCAAGTAGATTAACAAATGCAAACGACTCCTCAATACATTTTTAAAATTGAAAAGGGATGTACTGATGCACATTAATTTATTAATTAATTCTTACCAGAACCGCTCTGACACCTCAAACTTCCTAGTTCCTTCTCTCCATCTGCCCACGCAACCTTTGATGCTGAGACTGGTCTCACACACTGGTAAGCTGATGCAATACCTGAATACACTGCCACTACAAAATACTTGCTATAAAGTTGGCCATACGGCAATAGATAATCGGTTGAAATGATAAAGGAATAAAACAACTATAATACATATTCAATCCTCGTTAGGGTCTACTTTTGTTTTATTGTGCAGCTCTCTAGCACGTGTGCGCCAATTTGGGTGCTTTTATCACTATTAAGCACAATCCATGTCTAAAACCTTATAAATGGTTTAACATACAATCGCATGGTAATCAATTATTTTACACGTACCGCCTTACAAAATTTCCTTATATTAAAACCTC